GCAAGTCTTGATCAGGATCAGGATCCACTGAGATGGTGGGCTGTTGTTCGTCGCGAGTCTCAGACGATGGTTGGGGCTCGCTTGCTGGGCGACGCTCTGGACTCGAGTTATTCCCAGAGCTCTTCTTGGGCTTGAATATACCCTTGAGTCTACCAGCAGGTGAAGGCGAACGACGAGCAGAACTTTGGGGAGGGAGCAAGCCCGTCTTACTCCGGCCGATCCGGGGGTCTCTTGAATCGATGGAGTCTGTTCGCGATGCTGGAAACGTTGACGACTTTGAAGCACTACTGTTGGATTCGACGTCTGAAAGCGAAGGCTGTGATTCTGGTTGATACTTTGCCTGTACGATGGAAGAGTTTGTCGTTAGGTGGCCTATTTGGGAAGGATGAGTAGAGAAAGGCGGCGGGTATCGAGAGTTGGATCTAAAGAGTGACGACGGCTCCAGTTAGATTGATCAAATGCAGTAGAGAGCACAGACGGTAACACCGATAAGTGGAGTTTGCTAGGGAAGTGGACACGGGGAAGACGGCAGATGTGCCAAGCCTGCTGGGCACGAGAATAACCAGAAACAAAACAAAGCAGGAATATAGCGACGTGCTGAGAGAGGTAGCTGGGAAGTATGCAATGACAAAACAATTGAGTTGAAGCTTGTCAACGCGAGTATGGGCGATCATAGCGCCGTGTGGAGCTTTGATCTGCCATCCCTCTGTTAGTGCAATAAGTTATGTAGAATGGTTTGTCTCTCCGCTTGGTGCCACTTAAGCATGGATGTCGCAGATACTGACCAAGAGGGTCTCAGCCTCGCAGTTGTTCCCACGTAACAGAACTGGCAAAAACAACATGGAGGCAGACAATAGCTGCCACGAAGAATTCGGTTGATAACAGTACGGGAAAAGCAGAAGGGAAACAAAAACAGAACAGGGAGAGACGAGGCAATTGAATAAAACTTACGATTCGTCCCCATCGGACTCATAGGAGCGATGGCTTGTTCCCTCATCCTCGTCCCCTGCAATGTGCCCGGAACGTGTACCATCGCTTTCTAAGGTTTCTCGGCTCGACTGTGAATGCGCAAAGACGCTAGCATCGTCATATGACAGCCCTGGCTGTTCACGGTCTTGCTTTCTTCGAAGTCGCTTGGAGGATATTGACTTTGGCAGCAGCTTGTTCAGCCCAGTGCTGCTGCTGTTGTCCAAAGTCGTTGACATCGTTGCAGTCGCCGCGTACTGCAGCCTCCCTCTGTCGAAGGACGAGTAGGATATGAGGGATCAAGCCGGAATCGCTCGTTGTTGCGTGTTCGGGAGGTGTTGGAGTGGATGCGCTCGATGTGGCGGCAGCGCTGCGAAACGCTGGTCGTGGTTGACAGTACTCGCAAGGATTTTCGTATGACAAACTTGGGTTATGTATTTTCGATATTCGATAAAGGTCGAAGGCTAGGAACTGGGAACTGATGAGGTTTTGTCGTGGAAATCTGGATGGCGATGGAGCCAAGGATGAGAGAGTTGACGTCGTTGGTTTGTTTTAGCCCAAATGGTTTAACTATGACGGGCCAGACTACGAGATCATGGACCACGCCAAGTCGGGTCAGGACTTGTTCGATTTGGTTTCTGTGGAATTCCTCTCGATTGGGTGGTATCCAACTTGAACCGCATGCGTGGTTTCCAACTTGTGTCTGAGTGGGTGCGTACTGCATTTAACCAAGCCTGTGGCTTTTATCAATAAAGGGTGGCTTCAGGGGATGTGAATTATTAGCTCGCAAGTCCGTACCTAGGTATTTCGGTTGGTGTAGGCATATTACAGTCCGAATCAACCAGCCAACCACCGAAATCAACTGGAAGCTCTAAACTTAACCGATAAACCCGTGTACACATCCCTGTGAAGTGGACTAGTGAGGGCGCCAATGATTGATATCCATGGATGCTTAGCTGGTGGGACCAGTCAGATTTGATCCATGCTGAAGCTCTGGCCAAACAATGGGGTTTTGTTTGAAGTTGGTGGAAGAGCTGGCTTAGTACATAGGCAGCTGGGTAAGACTCTGTGGCGCAGAACATCTAGACTCCTTAACACACCTTTGTAAGGCAGGTATGAAGTTCGCTATACGAGAATGATGAAAAGAACACAGTGTTTTATTCAAGTCATCATTGGCATCCCTATCATGTGGGTGAGAAGGAAAACAAAGGGCAAAGACAGAAGCCAGAAGGGCTTCCACGAAAAAGAGGTACATTTATTCGTGAATATTTATTACTTGTATGGCTCTGAAGGTGTAGACTAGACTTGTTCATGACCCAATACCATCCAAATACATACACTGACTTGAACCTCACAGCTACAAGTATCTAATATCCCTACAAACATAGAAAGAAGGCTACAAGTCATAAAATATATCCAAGGATGACATTATTTGTCGCGGGAACTTGTGACTTCGCTATATAAAAGTTCGACCTATTGTTTCAGTCCTATTTGAATGCTTTAGGGTAGGAGGACTTGACCAAGACCGTAATACTACTTACATATCCATGCCATATAAGGTAAGTCAGGCATCTTCATTACCAAGGAAACTGCTTCTGCGTAAAAAGATGATAGTACATAGGTATTGAAATACCCAGTATACTGCATGAGTACTTTATATTACCTCATAATTCGCAGTCGTTCTCCACATTTGAGACAGTGTCGTCATGAAATTCCGGATCACTTCCTGCGTGCCTGGGCGTCTAGCAGGTAATTAATCTTAACCCCGCCAAAAGCTAAATTGTGCTATAACTACCTAGGAAAGTAGTACTAACCTAGACACTTTGGGCTACCTTGCTAAGTACTAAGGTATGATACTGTTGGTATGAGCGACTGATTGCGTCAAGAGGAAAGCAAGACTTCCATTATTCCATTCGGCCTTTGACCTCAAGAGTGAATGTATTTTTGGTAGTAAGATCTCGTGTTACTGGACCCTCGAAATGCCGTAGACAACCCATGGGCCATGTGTTGATTTAAGCTCTGATTGTCGTTGTCCCGTCCGACAGAATCATCGCCAACTTAGAATACTATAGTACATACATTCTTAGGTGCTAAGGTAGAGACTACATACCGGGACCCGGAGCCACTCAAACGTAGTCACCAGTGGTCTTGTGCCTCCCCACATTTGATCTCATCACGTTAGGATGACAGCCCAACCCACTATCGACAACTCAATAACGAATCCAAAAGATTAAACAGCACACAAGGGACAAACCAAGCTCTCTTGAAGCTCACTGCACATGGAACAATGGACTCGTCTCCGCTTGTGAAAGCACACGATCATGTGCGCGCCGCGAGTGTCGCTCACCACTCCTCCGACAGCACAGTCGCAATCACGGAACATACTCAAGCTGCTGGCGAGTTCGCCAACGCTGCCAGATCGACCTCTAGCATCGAAGCTCTGCGGACACTGAAGCTCCTAGAACAACACCATCGCAGGATCGCCGAGATTTTAAACCGACCGACCGAACCTACCTCCCAGGCCAGCGATGCCGATCTCAACGAGAAGGATTCGTCAACCAAAGCCAATCTCCCCACACAAGATGCGGACGACAAGAAGGAAAACAAAAAGGACGCTACGGCGTCAAAGAAACTGTCCCCTCCGACCCAGCGTAGATATGCTCCACGGGAGATGTCCTCTTCTATCGCCAGCAACCTGGCTACCGCTCGTGGCATCCGATCAAAGTACAGAGGCCAACCTCTCGCGCCCAGTGTTTCTAATGACCAAGCTCCTGGAAATCTAGACGCAGCCTCGCATCCTCGCGGAACCAAGGCCAAGATGCAGACTATCATCGATCACCAGCCTGGCAAACCGACGTGGGTACCACCTGTTCCTGCAACCACACGCTCCGATAGTTATGGTAAAGCCTCATCGTCCCCACGCACCGATACAGCTCCCTCTGCGGCACTCAATGATGACGGAGGATATACTCGGTTCTACAACACCTTCGGGAGTCTCATCAATAAGATTTCAGCACCTCTGGCTTTTGCCGGTCTGCCACTAATCCAAGAGGAATCCACCATTTCAGAAACACCTGACTCCCCAGAAATGTCTCCCAGTCCCAAGCGTAGTCACCTCAAGGCGTCCCCGTCCAAGGTCTTAGAACCAGACCTTAGCAAGATCTACTCTAAGGCAACTATGCAGGCTCTTGCTAGAGAAGGGCACGGAACTAACGATTCTTTCTACGTTGTACCCACTACTGGCCACACCATGTCTTATGCAAATATTCTCAGCTTTGCCGAGAAGGAAAAAAGAAGACTGGGGGCATCGTCCCACAGTGATCTTCTCGATGTTCCTGATGAAGATGACGACGACTTTGTGGATGCCCGAGAAGCACCCCCGCTGTCGCCCGGAGCCAAACGCCGTATTGGCCGTGCACGCACTGACAAGGACCTCAACAACATCATTGAAGAGCTATACACTGAAAACAAATCTCTAAAGGACACGCTAGATAAGCTTACCAAGCGGCTCCACGCCTTTGAGGCCAGTGCTCAGAATTCGGCAATGGCTCTCGCTGAAAGTTACCGTCTCATGCGCCCTGGATCACCCACCGCTTCACCACATACCAGCAAAGTTGCCGATGAATCCTTACGACGCAAAAACCAAGAGTTGGAAGAACAGCTAACCGCAGCCGTCAAACAGATGGAGCGACTGGAAAAGGACAACCGAAAGATGCAAAAGGTTTTGGACAAGTATCGTGAGAAGTGGGAGACACTGAAGGCTGGAGCGAAAGCTCGGAGAGAGGCCCAAGGAACGGGTGAGAGCGTGGATGATGCATCGACAGCTGGGTAACAAAGGGATCACAGGTCTTTCTGATGTTCTGTAAAATTTACAGGAATTTGGATCAGCAGAGTCTTGTCCATAGGCAATGGATTGACAATGTTGACGACCCGCATTGTCGTCTTATCATATCATAGTCACTGAAATGTTTATACAAGCCTCCTGCAGATCCGTGTGAATTTCATTCATGGATCTACCTGCCACCAATGGCCTACTAATTCCACCAGAAGCTCACACTGAAGCTCACGCTTAAACTTCTCACATAATGCCACCATCCGATAGGAATAACCAGTGTCTCTCCTGGTTTAAGGATACACTCCCAATACTCGATACCTTCGAGTTGTTTCCTCATCCTTTGGACATCTTCGTCACTCACATCTTTCGGTTTCTCATCCCATTCTTCGAGCACACCCACATCCAATTTACTCGTGTTGCTCATATCAATACCATGCTCAGATACCCGCGGCTGCATAGCATATGTTGCGCGAGGGGGATACAGACGGACATATTTTGTTCCGACGACCTGGCAGAGCAGGTTATGATAGCCATCGGTGTGAAGAGGTGTGATAGTGCGCGCTGGGCCTAACCAGGCGTTGAGCTGGGGCATGTCAACCGGCGGCTGATTTAGAGACGGAGTTGTTGGATGAGGTGGGACGTCGACCCAGCAGAAGTCCGGTATAGATATGTCGTTACGCAGAGAAGGGATCTGCCGAAAGAGGTTATGCTGGGCGAGATAGCCAATGCTATCTGTTTCTCCTGTAACATGACGATCAAGAAAATCGCGGAACTGGGTAAGTTCTTGTCCCCAACCCTCATCAACATAACTTCTACCGATTTCAACCGGTACCAGACGTCTCCCCCCAAAGGTTTGTGAGAGGAGATACTCTGGATCCTTCCAGGGGCGGTTTGTGAGAGCAGGCCACTCTGTAATTAAATCTGTGAAGATAACAGGCCGAGGCTCTCCGTTGTTGCTGTTCATGTAGTGTTCAAACTGTGGCATTGTCCAGCCGGAGCGTCGAGGACATTCCCTCGTAGGTGAGAGCCTTGGTTCTCCGTGAGGCTGGTAGTTAGAAAAGCATTGCGTCGAAGTGTCATATCTTTGACGCTTTGTTGGCCTCTTATGTTCCTCATTCGCCGTCCAAGCTAATTCAAGCATCCGTATCGTCTCCTCAAGCCATTGTTGTCGTCCACCACCACCCGCCGTGATGAGTGCTCTGTCAAGCTTCTCAACGACAAGATCTAGAAGCTTATCTGGGACAATGCTATCGATTATGAGTGGTTGCATGATGAGACTAAAAGAGTCAAGGATGCAAGCGTCAGTGTATATCTGACGCCACACGACAGGGAGGAGGTCATATCGGTAGGCGTAAAATTTGGATGACGAGATGGAGATCAAGTCTGCGATCCTTCTTTCAAGGAGACTCTGATTGATGTTGACGATTCTCTTATTCGACGTCAAATCATTGTGAATTGTGATCAATGCATGAGCCTGTCGTGCAAGAAGTCGAGCCACGGCATCTCCTGTGGGATCTGTGAGCGCAGCGGAATCTGTTGATTTCCCCAAAACTGTCTCAGAAACCCCTTGGGACTCTTCAGGGCTTGGAGAGCCTGTATCCGTCGTTCTCGACCGAGCGTCTGGTGCCTTAACGAGCTCTCGAGTTATCTCAAAATACCTGACGAGAATTTCCCCATAAGCCGCTGACGCCATATTCCAGGAGAGATACAGTTCAATGAGATTTATGTCAGCCTAGTCGAAAGGCAATGATGTTTCGCGACGCTTGTCATCTGCTAGGGCTAAAGTGTTGTGGTCAATAACAGTGTAAAAGCACAGATTGACACATCGCCGCTTAACCGTGAAATTGGTCGTACAAAGCATCCAATGAGATAGAGGAAGGAATCTTCACACACAATGTTCGTCAACATGATGCACTAGAGCTTCTTAATCAAGTAATTAGCATCAAGCCCAGTGTATATTCTTATATAGTGAAGGATTACAGCCATTTCCGCCCATCGCCTGTTTATAAAGCCACGAATTGAACGATCAAAGCGCTGCTCATGATTCAAGTCGTCATGAGTGGATTTCATTATTTCTTTTACAGATTGCACACGTATATCTTAGCTCGTCCATACCCCCACGACACCGTCTCGTCTGCCTTCAACAAGATATCCATCTCTTACACGTACACGCTCCACGATGGCAGGAGTCTTACCCTCTTCAGCCGCCGTGATGCCGGCGCCGCATTCCCATTGTCGTCCCTCCACCTTATCGTACACCTTAACGACGTCCTCGCCAGCAGCACTGACGATTCTTCTGGCGTCAAACATCATGTCTGTGATTGGGTTGTCGTAAGCATATGCGTCGTAAATAGACCCTGTTCTCAGGTCCCAAATCTGTGGTTACAGTTAGTCACGATGTACTTGGAAGAACATAAGAGAACAACGTACTCTGATGCTTCGATCTACACTTCCCGTCACCAAATGCACATCGTCGAATTGGAGACACGTAACTGCACCTGTGTGACCGACTAGACTGCGATGGACCTGGCCGCTCCGAAGATCCCAAAGTCGCACCATGCCGTCTGCAGTACCACAAGCAAGTGCCGTCTCAAAGACCTGTAATGCACCCACGAAGTCGGCCGAACTGCTCTGAGACCGCCCCGTAGGCCGCCACCCGCTGTCTGTAGTCGTCATACTTGCTGCTGCCGCCCACATAACGTCTAATGTTTGCACGCAACGTCCCTTTTCAAGATCCCAATGGCGAATCGTCTTGTCCGCAGAACCAGAAACCATAACATCGCCCCTGAAGTGGAGGGCTGTGATCTCGTCGACATGTGATTCCAATGTGTACAGAGGGCAATCGGCCATGCTACCAGGTGGGGGTTCAAGGTGGTTATCCGTTCCAAAAGCGATAGCATCCTCATCGTCATCTTTTCCCAAGCCGCCGTGAGGGTCGTAATGCGCCTTACTAAGATCCCAGAGTCGAATGGTCGCATCCATAGAGCCCGTTGCGAGAATGTTATCCTCAACCTGTAAGGCGCGTACCGAAGCAGTGTGCCCTTCCAGATAACCCATGCATCTACCAGCGTTGAGGTCCCAAACGCGAACTGTATCGTCCAGCGCAGCAGTAACCATAGTACCGAAGGGGGCATCAAAATCAATAGCTGTAATCGTGTCCTTGTGTGCTCGAAGCTCGCGAATGGCGGTGCCAGGCTCGAAATGCTCGTGCAGAATGGGCATTGACTTCTTACGATGTACCTTTTTCGTTTTCCGGGGCGTGCTACCTGCTTCTGAGGAAGGAATCTTATCATAAACTGACTGGGACATGAACTCTGGATCGTGATCATCGGCATCGCCAACCAGATCTTGTTCGTCCTGGGTTCGTGTGTTTCGTGCGATTTCCTCAGCCTCATCAACCAACGCCTGCGCCTCATCAACTCGGATTTCCATCTCGGAAACTTGTCAAGTCAGTAGAGTCTTGTCACGTATTTGGCACATCACATACTGTCGTGCTCCAGCATAGCTTCATCTTGTTCCAACCCAGCGAGCCTGTCCAGGATAATTCTTCGCATGCCGTGGAGATTGGCGATTTTGTTATCGATTTCCCGAATCTCGTAGCTCGCCATGCTCTTACGAGTGCCCAGCAGCCCAAACTCATGCATCATGGCAGCCTTCTCTTTTTTCAATTGAGTTAATTTTTTTGGGCTTCCTGGTGTCCCATCTGAGTCTTCCAGCATCTTGCGACCGCGGGTGACTCGTCGCTGGAACTTTTTGCCCTCGTCAGTCAACTCGGGGAAGCTGGCCTGGAAACCCTGAAACAGCGAGTAAGGATTGTCATGCTCAGGAATATTGGCAAGCAGTTCATCGGGGAGGTATGTCAAAGCGCGATGCTGGATTTCGTGCGTTGAAAGTCTGGATCGCATGAGGTCGGTTGGCGTTGTCCTGGCCATCGCGAACATGCTTCGCTGGACCGTCGGCCGCTTCATTTGTTTGTGCACCTCGGCCATCGCGGTTTGGTAGTGATGAGCCGTGGCTTCGGCATTGGGTCCGATCAAATGAGTAGCTGTAGTTGTGACCTTTCGACTGAAAGCCTCGAGTCCGCGCGTCTACCCAAGAAACAAAGCATTGAGGTTAGCTATGTGCGGCCCGTACGACAAGAGACAATGGAACTCGAGTAGGTATCTACACACCGACACAATAGACTGGTCGTCATCTCCGCCTTCGTCGAAGCCATAGTGAGTCTCTTGGTTCGCCATGGCCTAGCTCCTGGCGGAGGTGCAGAAGCTCAAGAGAATCGGAGGGCCTTGAAGCGATTGGATCGAGGAGGATGATTGACGCTGAGGCTTCGCACAAGGAGGAATCAAAAGATTTGGCAGCTCACGAGGAGTTTATCATGACGCGCGCCGGGATAACCTTGGTTATTGAGGTGGAGGGCAAAAAAGACCCGAACAGGCTTGGATTTGGGCTTGGGAGGCTTCTGATCCGAGACGCTAATGTGGGCAAGAGCAGGATTGGATGGATGGCTCTCTCTGTAATTGGCTCATGCGTCACTTATGCCACAGCGCTGGAACTACTGGAATGATCGCTGGAGGCTGCGAGGATAGTGGCGCACAGGCGAATCCGTGTCCTGTAAGGTGTTTTAAAATGCCCGGGCTCCATCCACTCCCGGTGACGTTCAAGGCCGAGCTCGACCTCTTCCCCGAGCCTACCTTGGTTACCCCTCCATGCATGCTCAATTTTATTGTGCCGCAGGAAGTGGGAGGAACCTAATAAGGGAAGGGAAATGCTGGCTCTAGTTCCGCCCATGCCCTCCTCTCCTCCCTTTGAGCTCTTGCCAACCATCTCATGGCCTGCAAGCTTTTAGTTGGTACAGAGCTCCAGCCTTTCCGTGCCCGCTTTATGCTACCAACTATACTTAGTAGGTGGTGATTAACCCTTCGGTACTTCAACATTGACTTTGAACGACTCATAACCCAATTTCTGTCTTTTACGAGATTTGGGCCCAATCTTCGGATCATTCAGGTCAAGACATACACCTCGGAAGCACATCTCCAAGGCTTTCAAACCCTTTTCTTTTTAATCAGAACCAGTATGGATACCGTTATCAACATGGCCGATGCCGCACACGCACTGGATCTGGCCCGAATTCGATTCCAACTTATGTATGAGCTGCTACCGGCTTTCCGTACCCCCTATTCTGCCATTGAGCACCCAGACTGACATTGGTAGTCGCCTTGAGGACACAATCACCTTCCATCTGATCGAGAGAGTGCAATTTGCATTGAATGGTGTAAGTGGGATTAGAACGCCTCATGCAAACCCCGGTCCAGCCGCAAGATCCCAGATTGCATAAGAATGATAATTAACCATGTCATCATTTTAGACGATCTATGTTCCTGGAGCTGTGGAATTGCCTGAAGCGAACCTGAGCTTCCTCGACTGGTATTTTCGCGAGCAGGAGAAGCTACAATCCCTCATCCGACGCTTCGAGTCACCTGACGAATATCCTTTCTTCCCCGATGCATTGCAAAACCCAATACTCAAGCCTCTCAATTATCCCAAGATCTTGCATGAGAACAACGTCAATGTGAACGACAAGATCAAAAAATTCTATACGGAAAAGTTTCTCCCCGCAGTATGCCCCGATTTCGGACGCGAGGAGCGGGGTGAGTCTCAAGAAAACTACGGCTCAACCGCAACTTGCGATATTGCTTGTCTACAAGCTCTATCACGACGCATTCACTTCGGCAAGTTTGTCGCAGAGTCCAAATTCCGGTCGGACGAGGAAAAGTATATTCGGCTTATCAAGGCTGAAGATCGGGAGGGCATCGCTGAATCTATCACTAATGCAGCAGTGGAGAAGAAGGTCCTTGAGCGACTACGACTCAAGGCTCTGACATACGGCAAGGACCCCTCCATCCCCGACGGGACCGAGGGAGCGGCGAAAATCAATGTTGACGCTGTTGTTTCAATGTACAAGGACTTTGTTATCCCGTTAACCAAGGAAGTCGAGGTGGAATACTTGATGCAAAGGCTAGAACCAAGTGCCTGAGCTTCATCTCATCTATTGCGCCGCACTGAGATATTCATTAACAGCTTTGACCGCCCCTGGGAACTTGTTCGCCTCGATAAGAATCATGTGCCCGTGCGCCTTGACGCCCATTTCTTGGAATGCCCGTTTACTGTCTGCCGCCGACTCGTCCTCTTTTGTGTAATTGAAATTGCCGTGCGCTACCGCGTGTTTTTGTAGCACCTCGTCTTCCATGTGGAAATAATAAATGCCGGCCTCCTCCTTTGCCTTTTTGCGCTTCTGATTCTCAACATCCAACTTAGACTCGAGTTCCTGGTATGTCTTGGACAGTATCAAGTAGTGAGTGAAATCGTAGGGTTCTTTGTCCTCTACAGCAGCCTCAACCTCATCGATAAGCATTGAATATAGTGGTGGGGCCAGCTCAGAAGGCATGTTAATGAGGCGTTCAGAGAATACAAGTCCCACGTGCTTTCCACTTTTGAGGACGTCGGCAATGGGTGTCAGTGGTGAGCTACTCTGCGCCTTCTCGATCAGGTATTTGATAATATCGTTCATGGGCTCCTTTTCTTGGTGGACAGCCGTGTTGAGAATAGTGAGCATGGCGTAGGCATCAGTGGCCTTTCCATCAACCTTGATGGTAGAACCAATGGTTGGTTGTGAGAGAACGAGATCGGCGAGGGCAGACATGTTGAAGAGATTCGCATCAACATCGAATAGTTGCCGCAAGAGGGTCTTGGTGCCGTGGAAATCGACCTCGGGGTCAAAGTTGAACCACTCAAAATCAACGTCAACCATATCGAAGTCCTTTGGTGCAGTCAGTAGGATGCGCATACAACTTTGAAAGCATTTTGCCCACCTCGTCATCAGAACCGTCCTCGTCCATTTTGTCGATATCAGCCTGCGGGACATCCTTGCCCTCTTCGCGCGCTCGCTTCTTACCCATTGTTGAATATCAGATGGGCGTCGGTCTGGAAGATTTGATGTTATAACGAATGTAAGAAGGCAGAGAAAGTCACTTGAGTCGGCGCAAAAAAAAGTATAGACAAAGTTTCACCAGTGATGTCGAGCCAAAACATTTTCCAGGCCCCTCATCACCAACAACTTTTTGGGGCGCTGATAAGATAAGAGTAACTAGTTACCTACCAGGCTGTAGTGGGAGCTTCTCTCAATGAAGCCATGGCCATACATATGGATCCAACGCCAGTCAGGTGTCCTAAGCTCCCCGGCCTAGACGGGAATGGAATGGCTGCAACCTGCGGGAAGAGAAACGCCTCAGACGATGAATGGCAAGAATAGGCTATATTACAATGGGCTACCTGATATCTGGGGCGATTTCTGTTCATAAAATTTCAAGGCGTTAAGGTCCTCATTTAAGGCAATGAGTTTCGAAGGTTGCAGGAATAGAGGAAGTAGGTATAAATTACTGCCAGTATTGTCGTGGTATCAATCCATTAAAGTGCCCATCAGCTTGGATCTGGGCAGCTCCCGTCCTCGCCCGCTCAATTTGGTACTCGTACTCCACCTCCATCTTGGTCGCTACCCCCGTCCGTCCCTGCCGACCACCGACTGGACTTAGTTCAAGTGCGCGCTGAACCAACGCAACGTCATTCCTCCAGCTTCTCTCTCTCATCAACAATCGCCCAACTGACACAATCGCCGAATTCCTTCGTTGATATTTCACTTGCGATGGACTACAGCTCCACGATCCACGACGTGGAGGATCCCGCTGGCGATTCACCATGGGGCAACTCCCCTGTGTCGTCTCCATCGCGAAACAACATTGCTGCCTTCAATCCCGCCTCAGCTGATGCTCCTCCTCCCTTTCGCTACAATACACAATCTTCGAATGGCCTATCTCAGGACCAGCCTTCATCTCAGTCTGAAGAATTCCAGCGCCCAGGGACTGCGACTACAGCCTCTGGCACTGAAGATGGGACCGAGGCTTCAGGTACACTGAACACCTCAGAGGCGCAGTCGCAATCCATAGCCGCTGAACCGTCAGCTGGGGAGGACGGACAATCTCAAGCACATAGCCAGCAACACAACCAGGCTGGTGCGCCGGCTTCCCAGTCTGGACAGGAACAGCATCCCCCAAAACCGGCTGGGCCTCAGTATCGACTCCAAGCCAAGATTACGGGACTTGAACGCACTGGCAAGAAGGATCCCATCCTCCGATTCGATGTTCATGTACGATTTCCGAGTTCTTTTTATATCTCCACGATGGACTGACAAGGCACAGACTAATATTCCCCGCTTTCGAACAACTCAATTCCGAGATGTTCGCCGTCTACACTCCGAGTTTGTTAAACTTGCCGATCATCTGATATCTGCGAACCCAGAGGTGTTTGTCCCCGCGGTCCCGCCGCCTCTGACCTCCGCTGGAGCTGGGACAGACGAGGATGAGATTCGGGTCAAGGCCTTGATGCAGCGGTGGTTGAACTACGTTTGCGGTAACGAAATCCTGATGCGGGACGACGAGATGGTACTCTTTGTGGAGAGTGACTTTGGTTATAGCCCCATGGTGAAGAAGAAGCAGCCAGCGACAGGCGTCCGCAGAAAGATTTTGAAGCAGTTCGCTCCACCCCCTGATGATACCCCTGAGCTTGCAGACGCACGTCCAACCGTCAAGCTCTTTTATCTTGGTAGCATGGATGCCGGCCACAAGGTTGATAAGCTGGTGAAGGCCAGGAGGGGTAAGCTTCTGACAGACCGCACAAATCCAGCATACTGAACTTCTTTAGGACTTGGCCTCTCCGAAGCCGATTACGGTGCTAAACTCACAAGTATGCATGTCCAGGAACCTCATCCTGGTTTGGCAAATGCATATCGAAAGCTGGGTAAAGTCGTCCAAACCGTCGGCGACTATCATGCTGCCCAAGCGACAGCAGAGGCTACAACTATTGGCGACCCATTCCAATATCACTCACAAGACGCTTTCATTGTCAAGGAGTCACTTACCAACCGACAGATTCTGATTCGCGAATTCCTACAAGCTCAGGAAGCTACCCGTAGCAAGCTCAATGCGGCTGATCGCCTCAAAGCCAGTTCGAGTGTTCGCCGCGAGAAGGTGGACGAGGCCATCACAGCATTGGATGACGCTCGACAGCACGAGACCTACTTGTACAACAAGACTAACCGTGTCACCCAAAACTTGGTTCAGGAGCGTCGTAAGTGGTTCTCGAGAACTTCTGCTGATCTCCGCCTGAGCATCAGGGAATACGTGCTCAGAGAGATTGAAGCTGAGAGGCGGACTCTGGCCCTGCTGGAGACGGTACGACCGGATATCCGATCAATTGACGCCTCCGGTGGATTGAGCCGATTGGGTCGTGAATCGCATCCTACCGTGCGTCGATCAAGTCTCGCAGCTAGTCAAGGCCCCAAGGGCGACTCTTGGAGTGGCGTTCCGCGCCGTTCAGATGCCACGGGTCGCAGCGTGTCAGGCAGTCTCATCAGCAAGGTGTCAGAGGAGGGCGAGAGCGAAGAGAGCACCGAAGCAGCTCAAGGGCGACAGGCGGGGGGCCGTGCCGGCCTTAAGGGTGTCAGCGAAGAGGATGATGAGGATCGTGTGGATGCCAGGAATGCTGCGAGCCGGCTGGCGGCCAGCACCTTCTAAGCTGCAGCAGCAACGAGTGTACTATGTGGATGATGAATAAGGGGCTTGCATCAGATTCCCTCCTCTTTTTGGTAGCATTGCTCTGAGCCTGGTGTCATATGTAAAACTGATTTTCTTTATCGCTGCGTTTGTGATGTTTTCATTCGTCTCAGGCCTCATGAGTTTATGTCAAACGCCGTGGTGTGTATGGATATGCCGTGTAACAGCAACACTATGTTCTTGATAATGTCATTGCGCTGCCGGAACCTCACTGTCATTTATCACCATCGCTCGATCTTGAAGGGATGGCGGTGTATAGAGTTGGGGGGTTGGTTACAAGGAAGACTGCACATCTCCCAGCTCTCAATTGTGGGATGCGATGTGATGATTGGCGTATCAAGTTAAAGCTGTGATAAAGACTCATCAGAGAGTTTTTCATGATCACAAATGAGGTCCGAGGAGTATGCTTCATCGTTCACATGAGCCTCAGCCCTTATGCTGAGAAAGTCTTTGATAGATAAGATAATTTGAGTTCATTGGATATACCTCGTCCGATGCTGGAATCCGGTCTGGAAGACCCTGACTATAATCTTGACCGAGGCCAAGCTGCAGAAAGACACTTTACGCCATGTAACGGTCGCACAGAACATCTGTTCGAGACTCCGGAGGTTGTATGTAGGCAGGTAGGTAGATTGCATTTCCAAGATGATTATGGCGAAACCTGCTGTGCACATATGCTGTGTCACCCTGAAAGCATTGGGGGCAATGGGAGCAATAGCGTAGGCTGTCAACCTCAGTCGAATGGCATATCCCGTCAATCTTGCATGAACAAGAATGTCAGCAACGCCCACAAACAAATTGAACCAACCAGTCTTGCAGGTCCCAATGGTTGCGGGACAGCACCCATAGGGCTGTTTCTAATTAAATGAAGGCCTCAAGCGGAAGATTGAGACGGACATCCTATCAAACACTGCCTTGAGACACATGTGCAGCTGGTTGGCTGTGTCCGTCAACCTTTTTTCCTGAGTAACATCGGTACATACTGTACTTGTACTGTTGGAGGAGGGAGCTGACATGTGTCTTGCATGTCTTGTCTTAAAATAGAGTTTGCGTGCTAACATTTTTATTCCGCTCGCTGTCTATCCTTGTAATCCACTGAGACGATGTTTGGCTGAGCGAAGCCAAGCAAGCATCCAACGAACATGCTAGACTATGTCGTGCTCAAGGAAGAGGCGGTCTGAAGGGGTTGCGATTGCTTCCCTACACATAGCACTTTCACGACACCCAACTTACTACCTTATGTGGCACTTGGCGACTGTCATGGCATGAACTGCGTGGGAGCGAGTTATTTGTCCGTCGATTCGTGCCTCGTATTGTAGTTATGTATTCGCGCTTGTACGAGCGTAATAAAGTACTAGTCCAAGTCTTCAGATCGTCTGGTTAGCTACTAACTAAGTAGTACTGGTACGTGGTCTGAAGGATTTACCTACCTACCTTGGGTATTCTCTGACGTAGTAGACTAAAACGTTGGTACAGTTGTCGGGATCCTCGCATAAAGCCTGAATAATAATAGGCTATCAATATCATTGGGGGGTTTTAACCGCGACTGACGGTTATCAGAACTTTTAGTTCGGGCTGGGGTTCAGTCTGTCACATCCAGGGGTTGGGATGAAGTAGTGGAACCCCAAGCGCATGGCATCTCGTCATTTCTGCGCCTTGTGGCTAACCCTTAGAATAGACGTGCAGCAAGATAGCTACCGTAGGCCAATCAGTTGTGCAACTCTCTTGTTGTTTGTATGTATGTACGGATACATGTGGTGGCTACCTATCCAGAACAACGGAATATTTCGTATTGTTAGAAACTTAATGTGTTGGACGGCGTCGGCACTTGGTTAACTTAAAGCTGTTGGGTTTTTTGGATCAAAGCTGAACTTTGCGGCAAGGATAGAGCGAGCTGCATTCTAGAAAACTTCTCAACATCCGAATGGCCCAGATAACCCTGGGATGACCCAGTCTTGCTTGGCTGTGAATGCAAGCTTTAGCCTGGTCCTAAGTTAAGGCGAAAGAAAAGACGTGCAGATTGTCTTTGTGTGTTGGCTGTTGAAAATTTTCATGTTATGATTAGCTTAGTGGGCTGCTGGCGCCCAGAACATGTATCATCAAGCCTACCATTGTTGGTGTTTGCCCATACAACACTCCCAAACCATGGATGTATTCATTGGTAGGAGGCAACATAGCCACGCCTGGAAACCATCATTCATTCATTCTCACCCCCATCGGGAGAGAACAGATCGCCGTCAAGACAACTGAGAAGATTGCGGAAGCAGTCCTACCCCATCCCCGCCAAACGAAGGGGGGGAGGGCTTGACCATACTTACATACCTTACATAGTACATATGGGGTCCGGGGTTTGACCCTCTGATCCCTGCCAACTATAGATTTACTGTCGACATCGTGTTGCTTCTTCTGTGGTTGATCCTTGGCCCTTGGAACCCTTGATAAGGCACGACATGACAAGACAGACAAGTGGAGGTGATAAGCGGCTATATGTCTGAATCTTGATTGATAACAGCCTAAGGCTTCAAATTGTTTCCCGCGTAATATTGGAGTCAAACATTGGCTGTTCCAGCGAGAACTCAACCAACCCCCCCGAGGTACTGCTATGGGGAGAGCACAAGATGTTTCCTACCAAGGGAATATGTAAAGAGGTCCGAGAACGACTGGAAGGTTGGTTCTTGGTTAAAGTTCTGCTTTTCGTCCTGGAACTTGGAGGGGATGGATATCCCCCGATTGGTGTGATACACGGCCGGCAAGGTTAGTAGGCAAATGCGGAAATACAGTACATGTAAGGTATACGTATATACATGCATGTACGGATACTGGAGGAGATTGCTATCAAAAAGGAAAGGCTCAGTTGAGACAACAGAGAACCTCTGTGGCCACCTTTGCATCGAACAATGCGGGCCGGGCACCTTATCTGGTACCAGTAGTTATGCTCTCTTCTCTCATCAGTCTTGTTCAGCTTGACCTACGAGCATTGCAGGCCTCGACATTCTCGCAGCAAGCCATCCTTGGCCACCATCAACTCTTGAGACAAATTGATCACTTCTCAAAATTCACTTCATGTTCCAGTAAACGGGGGATATGACTCGGCCCGTTGTCTAGCCCTGCAGCCTGCGACTCAACATAGCGCATCCATCCAATGGCTGGCTGGTGGCTGACGACGGTTGGAGAACCGTTGACGACAGCTCTTGGGAGGAGCTGGATGGTGATATTCCTTTTGTCCATTCATGCCGATGAGACCGCTGTTTGCACGGGCACTCAAGCTTGGCCAGTCTTTGTCACACCGGGTTCCCTCTGTTCAGAGTCGATATCAAGCAATGCCTTGTCTTGTCTTGTCTTGTCTTGTCTTTAAGCGCAGTCGTTGACGTTCCAGACACGTGCGTCAATGACACTCTGTAACTGCCATGGATGTCTTCCACAATCTCACTCACCGCGATCTCGGGCTGATTAGGGACCACACCACGATGCTGCTTGTGCATGGCTACAGTAGTACAAACATGGTCCCCGGCACACCTGGCCGTCTTCCGCCGCGGAGGCATGCAACAGTATCTACGGCACACGTTCGTCACAATTGATGATCTTTGTTTCCTCTTTAGAGCGGGCACCAGTAGTGGCCAGCATTTGTCAAACCCTCAACACTCGTGAAAGCCGTGATCATGAAAAGACTCATTTTCTTCTGGCAGCACGCCTTCTAGCCCCCGTCTCCTATGTCAGCGGCATGGTGTTTTGCTAGCCTGGACACCTTTCACCAAACCAACTTACTGCACAACTACAATGTCCCTGTTCACGATCTTCCAGGACGACCCAGCAAGTATGTAGACGCCGCTATTAGACCCTTGATAGCGCGCCCCGCGAACAAGCATCAGGGCCCTCAGTGACGCCCCATCTGTGCATGCAAGACGCCCGCCGCCTGTTACAGGCTCGTCCGCCAAATATGCACCAATTCTGCTTGGTGGTCCGGCCTCGGCCCAGGCACATGGCGCGACCACCTTGTGCTCTTGAGCATCAGGGGCTGTTGTTCTGCCGATACACCATTGCCATCGTGCTAAGGCCTGCAGCTAGTTAGTTTGCGATATGACAACACCTAACGGAAAGCTCCTCGTTTCCCACCGATAGCTTGTTGCTTCCTGACTGGGCATTCTCCCTCCCAATTCAAACGCCTCAAGACGCTGCTCCACCTTGGCACTGAGCATTCTGATGATGAGCGCACGCCCTTGCTTCTGATTGCTCTCGATCCGGACTCCTCTGGCGAGTTGCTCCGGAGGTTACTGGCGAGGAGTGTTATCTACTTAAGGGGTGGGAACCCGTCTTCCTTTGGCTCATTCCTCCTCGATCCAACGATACATACCTAGCCGTGAGCCTTTCTACCTGCCCAAACCGGCTCAAGCATTCGTGTCAAACAAAACAGCTCGAGGATATCGAGTCTTATATACTTCTATATCTTACACCAATCCACTTGGCACTTGGAGCGCCTCCACGAGCTATCCTAGGCCCTTACCCCCACGCGCTGGCCGTCTCCCACGTTTCCATCTCACTCCACCAGCCAATCCCCTTTGCTGTATTTGCCCCAAACGGCAACTGATCAAGCCATCGCCCGACCTCAGGTCTCCATTCTCACCAACATCCCACCTTTATCCCACGCTTCAAGGCTTCAAGCGTTGTTGTTGACAGCCATGGCCCCAGTTGCTACGGGAGAGATCGCACCAATGCATCTACCCGGTGGTCTATCGAAGCCATTGAGCATCAGTGCCTCTGTCTTGCATGGCCCCCGCGATCTGCGACTGGTAAGCCGACCCTGACAACCTCTAGACTATACTTGCTGTTGTTTCAGCCCTACCCGTACACTTGGCTGACTTCCCGCGTTGCAGGAAACAAGGACCATCGAGGCTCCAGCGGCAGGCGAGCTTCAAATCGCTATCAAGGCGACTGGCATTTGTGGTTCAGATGTCTCCTACTACAAGAAGTTTGCCAATGGCGATCTCTGTGCCTGTCACCCACTGTCACTAGGCCATGAGTCGTCAGGGGAAGTTGTTGCTATTGGTCCTCAAGTGAGTGGCTTCAAGCTGGGCGACCGAGTTGCTCTTGAAGTTGGTGTTGCTTGTGGAAACTGCGGCATCTGCCGTAAAGGCCGTTATAACCTGTGCAAAAAGTTGCGTTTCAGAAGCAGTGCCAAAACCTACCCTCACTACCAAGGCACATTGCAAGAGAGGATTAACCATCCCGCTGTCTGGTGCCACAAGTAAGCTCGACACGATATTCCTGGCAGCCTTGGTTACTGACTCGAATGCAGGTTGCCCGATAACGTCTCCTTCGAGGCCGCCGCCCTTCTCGAGCCGCTGTCTGTAGCTATCCATGCGGTGAACCGTGCCAGGCCGGAACCGGGCTCCACTGCCCTTGTTATCGGTGCCGGCACCGTTGGTCTTTTGACTGCCGCAATGGCTCGTCAATCAGGCTGCACATCGGTTACAATCACCGATATTGATGCCGGGCGTGTCAACTATGCCATAAGCCGTGGATTCGCAACTCATGGGTTTGTTACCCCCCTGTCCCGCTTGAACTCTTCAAACTATTCTTCTGGAATCTCTACACCCGAGACTGGTATCATTACTCCTGCCAGCACCTTTTCCACCGCAAGCCGCTTCGATGGAGCCAAATCATTGGCAGCGGATATCCTTGCTTCATCAAACCCTGCCGGTACCTTCATGCTTGAGGAGGATGAGGATGGTGTGGATGTCACATTCGAGTGCACCGGAAAGGAGGTATGCATGCACACGAGCTTATATGCCACCAAAGCTGGCGGCAAAGTAATCATGGTGGGCATGGGAACTCCTATCCAGACCCTCCCTCTCTCCGTGGCTCACCTCCGCGAGATTGACATCCTGGGCGTATTCCGGTATTCCAACACATATCCCACCGGCATTCGACTTTTGTGTTCCCAAGCTGCGAACCCCTCTTCCTGCAGCCTACCCTCGTTGGATGACATGGTCACCCACCGTTTCAAGGGCCTGGATCAGGCACAACGTGCATTTGAGCTTGCGACACGCACCAGTGACGACGAGGGCAAACTTGTCCTGAAGATTGTTATTGAGGCATAAGATCTTTCTCAAAATTGCCTTTTTACGACTTATGAATGATAGACAAAAAAAGATATCCAAAAAGCCACATCAGTGACGTACTTCACGGTGGATGTGTAAATAGATTCTCGTTATGATGAAGATATCAGCTACTACAGTATACTGGTAGCTTGGGGGTTTGGTTGGGTTTGGTTGAGAGATAACAAGTATTATTATATGAAGTGGCTTAATGGGCTAGAAGAACGGTTTGGCAAGGAGTTCGTCCTAGCAGACATAGTCCACGATGTTAACATGAACACTTGCGTCCTATCTTGACTTGACACATGAAGCTGGGATATCTCCACGAACAACTGGACTCGTGAACACGACATGGCCAACTAGTCTATGGTTTAATTCATGTCTAAAACACGATTCGAAGTTGTAATCTATCTCAAACACCAAACGCCCGGCTGAATGTAACTAAGTCGTTTCTGTCGGACGCGTCATCGTGCCTTCATCCGTATATCTAGCAATCTCAAACCAGCAGATCACCAGCTCCACGAATGTTGTAAGCCGCTGGGTCAATGACAAAATCCTGTCCGGGGCCAGGAGGAGCACCACGACGGTGCGACGCCTTTGCGTTTTCGACAACATAGAACTTCTTACCAACCTCACGGGCCTGACCCACGCTCTGGACAATGCCGTTAAGGAGTCTCACCAGGTTAACATCGTTCGCCTCGTGGAGCATCTCGCGTTCAAATGCGGCTCTGTCCGAGGGAATGACGAGGTCCAGGCGGCTGACGAGGGCTTGGATCTGGCGAAGCACTGTCGCTGATGGAGTGGTATAGTCGGCGTCCATGCTACTAGAATCGGCTGTGTTCCCGTTGATGTATGAGGGGGGAAGACGCTCTAGGTAGGTGGTGAGAAGGAGTATCCGGGACTGGAGCATCTTGATAGCGTTGGCCTTTGCTGTGAGGGCAGCAATTGTTTCGTCCTCTTCCGGCGTCAGAGCAACCTCATCATCCTGCGCAATCGCCTTGTTGTGGTCCTCATCGTGACTCTCTACTAGTCGGCGCTTGCCTTTGCCATTTGACTCGATGGACAAAGAGGGCTTGTCTTCCTTTTGTGGAGTGGCAGCAGCGTTTCCTCCTGAAGCAGCAACGTAGTTCATACTGATCATCTCTGTTTCGTCGGTCTCAACCGAATAGGGTAGCTCTCTGAACTTGAGCTTAAGAGCGGGCTCCCCGTCATCCATCTTCTTGTCCTCTCCATCGTTATCCGCCTTTGGGTCGTCGACTTCATAGTTGCTTTCATAAATAGTGAGTGGAAGTCTGCCACCGACGGAGTGATCAAGGACCTGTTCCGGGTGGAATCCGAGGAGTATGGCTGACTCGTTCCAACCTTCGAGAATCTGATTGTGGATTGGTAGGATAGTTGGGGTCGGACCTGAAGAAGGTAGGAGGGTGTACCATCCAACGAGGTCGAGGTGTCTGTCTTTGTGGACAGTGATCACTAGTAGATACTTAGAGGGAGATGATGATAGCATGGACGAGTTTACTGACTCTGTTCTAACCGTGCGCCGAATTTCGTAGCATCGAGGAGGTATCCACCTTGCACACTGGGCTCTTGTCGGGTGTGAGCTTCAAAGGCGTGCTCGACTGTGATTTCGCGACCATTTTGTTGACCTAGCAAGACGCCAATGATGGGGCCTTCCTGTTGGCGAAGAGTATGCCGTGTGATGTAATCGGAGATGGTGAGGAGCACCAGCGGGTGAAGAACAGCCTGAAGCTCGGAACTCTTCTGGTTAGAGAGAAGAGGGTTGGCGAGGGTCGAGGCAGCCATGATGAGCTGAGGCGAAGACGCTGTGGAGCGTTGAATGTCAAGTGTGCCGTGGAAATTATGTGGTCAAGTTAGGAAAGGGTTGAGATTAGTGTGTTTGGTACTTGAATGAAGCTATCGTCGTTAGCTTTGGTCAAGGCGGCGTTGGCGTGAAGGATGATGGAGATGAGTTGGTGGTAGACGGATGGATCATGGGGAATAAAGATGCCCCGCATCCATGCTAGGCTGCCAGAGCTCCAGGCCTACCTGAGCTAATGGAGACGGGACTTGAATGTGGGGTCTGTTCCGTCGGTGATAACAGATTAGGTCAGCATTCAATTTCCGTTCTAAATTCGACATTGGCGGCATCCAATGTAACCCTGGGTTTTGTCCGCCGTTTTTATTTTAAAGTGACATGTCATGATCATACAATGAATCGAGTTGAGCACATGTGTGTGCTTTATGCTTTGTGTGTATGTATGAGCTGATATAATCCTACTGTCAGTCGGGCTATTTATGGTCTATCCCTCGTCGACATTGACGCGACCTCGCTTAGCTGAGCAGATCCATGCCTGTGCCCGTGCCTGTAGCTATTCCCATGGTGCTTTGATCATCATCCAGGAGTCGAGGTCCAATCCATTTGATACACCAGCTGCTTTGTTCAAAACCGGCTCGGCGCAGCATTCACCGCTGGTACAATCGGCTATACTACCCTAGTAGGTACTGATATGGTTCTTGTATGAGAACTCAACAAAAGACGAAATCTAGTGAATCTTGTCACCAAGGACAAACCTTTGTTAGTTAACTCAAAAGAAGCTTTCAAGCTTGACCATCTCCACCAATTTTCAAGCCGCTCAGGGTAAGATACGCAAAACGAATGCATCTGCAAGTGCAAATGCAAATGCATCCATCCATCCAATGCAGGCATCTCATTTTGGCTCAGACGGGTGATACCACCGGCACGTCCGTTTCCCTCTGATGATTATTATTGTGGCTTCATTTTCTTTCTTTTCTCATACACCCGAGTCTCAGATTTCCCACATTCCGCCTTTCTTCGTCTTCTTCGCCTTCTTCCTCGTCTTCTTTTCTCTCTTCTTTCCCCGCCATTGATTTGATTTGATTTCCGAGATCCATTATTATCCTTTATTCCCTTTATCTCCATCAAGATCGTCGTCCCATTGTCTCTTTTCTCCCCCCTTCACCTATTTCAGCCCCTCCTCTTCCTTCTCGGTTGTCTCTCTTTCTCACTGGCTGGACCATAACTGGATCTTTCCGGCAAATATCAAGCACTCATCTGATCTGAAATAGTCGCACATCGCATCTCTTATCTGCCTCGAATCTCATACTCAATCTCAATCTCTAATTCTCCGATATCCATCGCCCAACCCAATCTTCGTCGCCGCCTCCAGGTTTGACCAACCTTTTGAATTTACTCTCCAGTCTCTGGTGTTCACTCCATATCATCTCACCACTCGCATTTTCGGACACACCCACTCAGACCATGATCGCCGCCTATGGTCAAAGTACGGACAAAATGGTCCGCGTGTCGACGGCTTCACATCATTTGAACATCACAACGCCTGCTTTCTATCTGCAGCAACCCACGACACGCACAGTCATGCCGTCTCGTAGTGGGAAACGTCCTCATTGCGATAGCATCGACAGCGACTCGCCTGCCCCGAGCAAGAAGTACAAGCAAGCCACCTCTTTCACTTCCGACACTTCTTCAACATCGACAGCGTCGACTGCTAGCTCTATCGACTTGGATTATCCTTCAATACAAACACCACTCAGCATTGGCACTCTCATGCCGGCCTTCAAGAGCGTGCAATACGACCGTCCCACCTACCGATCAGTATCACCACAGCCACCATCACCCAGATCGCATTGAAGCTCACCTCCTTAAAGGTGTTACGAAAGACACGGCCTCACATTTTGTTTTGATAACATTGGATACCACTTTGCATCCCTCGGCATAACCTGAGGGCACTCTTTTCGGCATCAAGACCAAGAATGATTTTTATCTTTTGCCATTTTACGCGGAACACGAAAAACACCGAGTCTGGACCTCGGTTACCAATAATTGACGTGTCTAATTCTCGGCGTTATAAACATAGAGCGGAGGATTTAAAGGGTCACGGTAGACTCTGGTACATAGGCGATTGGATCAATGGTTTGGGGACATGTTGGAATCAGAAGTCCCGTACCTATTAATGGCAGATGTTGATAAGTGCTATGTAGTTCATAAATACGCAGTAGTCCCCCCATTGTTGGTACAGACACACAAACGCCAGATCCGTCTCGTAATCGTCATAAATCATTTCAGCGCATCTTTGTCATTCAATTCATCTCCCACCACATGACATCCTCTTCCTGGCAGTGCATGCCGATTTCGAAATTCCGCTCCATTGTGGTCATGGAATTTTCCATGACCAGAAGCTCCACACGCGCCATGGCTGCTCCATCTCCTGTCTGTTTGGCCGCCATATACTCGGCCATGAGCTCGGCGTGCCGGCTTTCGTAGTCCTGACGGACACGGCGCCTGCGGGCCGCCGGATCGCACGCTGCGCACGTGTCGTTGAGATGCTGAATTTTGACGTTGGGAGTGCATGGGCGAGAGTTTGTGGCCATGCCACATGTTGTGGCATAGTTTGTGAATGTGTGGCCGCAAGCCATTGTGGTCTTGATACTTGTGCACATGTCGATTGCAATTGAGTTTAGGAAACGTTCGAGGAGAGGAGGAAATCGCTCGTAATTCGGCGCAATCGCCTATAAGCTGTAAGCCAAAGATGGCGGTCAAGAAGTATTACAGATGTATTTGGTTTTTTGAGCGTCGTGGACTTGGAGAAGAGAAAACCCTCACGTTGAAGGCATTTATTTATTTACAAATTTGTCCATGATAGAAATATCAACTAACTTCCAAGAATTCTCCAGGCTATGCCTTCTTTTTAGTCCTTTCTACGATCATAGAGATGGGTCCCCTGTCCAAGTCGTCTCTGGTGGATGTCGCATGATGATCATGGCACAAAGGCTTCACCGCCATCCTACGCCTCCCAAGTGCGACTAAGAAGTCCAACAAAGAATAGGCCGCCTGGCGTTGAGAGCGGCTGGTGCACGGTGTGATACTGAAATAGCTAATCGGATTGCATCCGAGTCAAGGTCAGTTGCCTGTTTGAGGTATTGAGACATGAATGTACGCTCGTAATCGCTATTATCCTATTCTA